GGGCTGGGGCACCCCACAGCTCCCCAGAGAGGGGCTGGGGCACCCCAAAGAGGAGCTGGGACACCCCAAGACACCCCCAAAAGGGGCTGGAGCACCACAGAGAGGGACTGGAGCACCCCAAATCACCCCAAAGTGGGACTGGAGCATCCCAAAGAGGGTCTGGAGCACCTCAAACCACACCAAAGTGGAGCCAGAGCACGCCAAAGAAGTTCTGGAGCACCTCAAACCACCCCAAAGTGGGGCTGGAGCACCCCAAGACACCCCCAAGAGGGGTTGAAGCACCTCCAACCACCCCAGAAAGGGGTCTGGAGCACCTCAAACCAGCTCATGGTGGAGCTGGCGCACCCCAAACCACCCCAAAGAGGGTCTGGAGCACCTCAAACCACCCCAAAGTGGGGCTGGAGCACCCCAAAGTGGGGCTGGGGCACCCCAGGACACCCTCAAGAGCATCTGGGGCACCCCAGAGAAGGTCTGGAGCACCTCAAACCAGCACATGGTGGAGCTGGAGCACCCCAAAGAGGGGCTGGGGCACCCCAGGACACCCTCAAAAAGGGCTGGAGCACCACAGAGAGGGTCTGGAGCACCTCACACCAGCTCATGGTAGAGCTGGAGCACCTCAAACCACCCCAAAGAGGGTCTGGAGCACCTCAAACCACCCCAAAGTGGGGCTGGAGCACCCCAAGAGGGGTTGAAGCACCTCCAAACACCCCAGAAAGGGGTCTGGAGCACCTCAAAGAAAGTCCCATGGACTCACCTGGCCATTGCCCCTGCCAGCACCTTCTCCGCCTGGTCCCCGATCACCTCCTGCCGCAGGTAGTAGAGCATCCGCACCCTCAGCAGAACCCTGGGAGATGGCGGGATGGGACGGTCAACAGAAAAACCCCAAAAAACCACGGAAAAGGGGACAAAGGGGACCTTCCAAGACCTCAACCTACTTGTTGCATTGGTGCTTGAGGTGCTTCTTGTAGCTCTCGTCTTGGAAGAGGGTATCGGGATTGTATTTGCGGATCCACTCGGCTTTGTGGACGTCAAAGGTGCTTTGGGACTTGACCTTCTTCCCCTTACGACCTCGAGGAACCGGGATGGAAAGACCTGGAGAAACGGGGTGGAAGAAGGAGAAAGACGTCAAGGTGGGACCTCAAGAGGTCCCCGGTTGTCCCGAAGCTCCTGTAGACCCTCACCCGAGTGGTTTTGGAGCTCCTTGGCCTTGCCGTTTTCGGTGGGGCTGATGAGATCCCAAATGAAGCCTTTGATGTTCTCGTCACCGCGGTAATGCAGGAGACAGTAGACCAAGATGGCCCGGCAGATGGTCTCCACGTCTCGCTCCGAAAGACGGCGTTTGAACCTCCCGTGGGACAGGATCTCCCGCCATCGACCCCAGCTGGCGGGGGAAGATGGGGTCAGTGGCCGGGGAGGTTCTCGGCTGGGGTTTCCCAACGTCCCAGCAGCCATCTCCACCGAGTTATCTACTCAAGGTTACCACCAGAGAAGAGCTGGAGCTTGTCCGCTCTCTCCTCCACCATCTACTCAAGGTTGCCACCAGAGAAGAAGTGGAACTGGACCTGGTCTGCCTTCTCCACCGAGTTATCTACTCAAGGTTGCCACCAGAGAAGAGGTGGAACCGGACCTGATCTATCTTCTCCACCAAGTTATCTACTCATGGTGGCCACCAGAGGAGACCTGGAGCTGGTCTGCTCTCCCCTCCACCATCTACTCAAGGTTGCCACCAGAGAAGAAGTGGAACTGGACCTGGTCTACCTTCTCCACCGAGTTATCTACTCGTGGTGACCACCAGAGAAGAGATGGAACTGGACCTGGTCTGCCTTCTCCACCGAGTTATCTACTCGTGGTGACCACCAGAGAAGAGATGGAACTGGACCTGGTCTGCCTTCTCCACCGAGTTATCTACTCATGGTTGCCACCAGAGAAGAGCTGGAGCTTGTCCGCTCTCTCTGCCACCATCTACTCAAGGTTGCCACCAGAGAAGAAGTGGAACTGGACCTGGTCTACCTTCTCCACCGAGTTATCTACTCAAGGTTGCCACCACAGAAGACGTGGAACCGGACTTGGGCTGCTCTCCCACCCAAATATCTCCTCGTGGTTGTCGCCCCAGCAGGACCACTCCCTCCACTAACCATCTGCTCATGGTTGCCACCACGGCAGAGCTGGACCTGGTGTGCTTTCTCCACCAAGAACCATCTCACAGTTGCCACCACGGCAGAGCCGGACCTGCACTCGGTCTGCTTTCCACCAAACATCTGCTCGTGGTTGCCACCAAACCACACGTAGACCTAGACCCGATCTACTTTCTCCACCAAGAACCATCCCGTGGTTGCCACCAGAGCACAGCTGAACCCAAGCCCGTCCTCACCCGTAAACCAAGAGGTGCTTCTCCACGCGGAAGCAGTCGGTGCGACCGTAGGCGTGGTGCAAGGCGTGGTGATGCCGGTCGTGGCGACGGGATCGAGGTCTCTCCTCATCCTCGCTCTCCAGGTCCGAGAACTCCACCAGGTCGTCGTCCCGAAGGGTGCTGAAATGTCGCGTCTGCTTACGCACCCGCGGCGTGTCGATCACCAGGTTGTTCTGGACGACGGGATGGAGAAAACCGATCAAGCGCTGCCCCGCGCCGGCCCCACCGCTGACCCAACCCCACGGTTGTCCCCCTTCCCGTCTCAAACCTTGCTGTTCAGCAGGTCCAGGTCCAGGTCGGCTTTCTTGGCCCACTTCTGCCAGAAATTGGGGTCATCCAACGCAATATCGGTGCGGTTTTCGGAAGCCACGAAGCTCGCCTGGGGTTGGGTGAGGAGTTCGGGAGATGTTCTCCGACAAACTCCGAGGTGGGAGATGTTTCTCCCCGCCTCCGGCTCGGCAACGGCGGGAAGAGCGCGCGGAAATACCTTGGCAAAGGTGGAACCCTTCCCCTCGCTCTCGATGGTGATGGTGGTGGTACGGCGCAGCAGGATCTGGTCGATGTCTTCCTCGCAGAACTTGGAGCCTTCGTCGTCCTCTTCCATGATGGCTGCGTAGGCCCCTTTGCGCAGCAGGTCTTCGATCTCCTTTTTGGAGAACTGCTGGATCTGCCGGGGAGAACGGAGAAGGGAGGTGAGCGTAGGGCAAGGCGGGTGGCCCATGGGACCTGCTCCCATCCCAAACCAACCCCAAGCCCCACGTCCCTCAAGATTAGGGTCTTCATTTCCCATTTCCCTTGGAGAAACCCTTTCCCAAGGTCTTCGCGTCCCGTTTCCCTTGGAGAAACACTTCCCCAAGGTCTTCGCGTCCCGTTTCCTTTGGAAAACCCTGTCCCCAGGCCCTTCCCAACTCATTTCTCCTGGAAAACTCCACCCCCGGGGTCTTCACAACATGTTTGTCTTGAAGGACCCCATCCCTACGGTCTTCACGCCCCGTTTCCCTTGGAAGACCCCATCTCCATCATCTTCAGACCCCGTTTCCCTTGGAAGATCTCATCCCACAGATCTTCACGTTGCATTTCCCTTGGAGGAGACCATCCATGGGGTCTTCACAAAGTGTTTCTCTTGGAAGACCTCATCCCAACGGTCTTCACGCCCCGTTTCCCTCAGAAGACCTCACCCCCGTGGTCTTCACGCCCCATTTCCCTCGGAAGACCTCATCCCTGTGGTCTTCAAGCCCCATTTCCCTCGGAAGACCTCATCTCCGTGGTCTTCAAGCCCCGTTTCCCTCAGAAGACGCTATCCCAACGGTCTTCATGCCCCGTTTCTCTTGAAGGATCCCATCCCCGTGATCTTCACGCCCCATTTCCCTCGGAAGACCTCATCTCCGTGGTCTTCAAGCCCCATTTCCCTCGGAAAACCTCATCCCCAAGATCTTCACACCCCATTTCCCTCAGAAGACGCTATCCCAATGGTCTTCACACCCCATTTCTCTTGAAGGATCCCATCCCCGTGGTTTTCAAGCCCTATTTCCCTCGGAAGACCTCATCCCCAAGATCTTCACGCCCCGTTTCCCTCGGAAAACCTCACCCCCGTGGTCTTCACGCCCCGTTTCCCTCGGAAGACGCCTCACCCCCGCGATGTTGCCCTCGCGTCCGCTCATGGACTGCAGCACGGCCTTGTCCAGCCCCAACTTGAGGCTGGCTTTATCGAACATCTCCCGCTCGTAGGAGTTGCGCGTGATGAGGCGGTAGACCTTCACCGCCTTGCTCTGCCCGATCCGGTGACACCGCGCTTGAGCCTGGAGGAAGGAAGAAGAGGGCGGGTGGGGATCAGGTCAGGATGAAGGCAACGCGACGCCAAACCCATGGCGGTGGGGCGGAGCCGGCGTCTACCTGGAGGTCGTTTTGGGGATTCCAATCGGAATCGAAGATGATGCAGGTGTCGGCGGCGGTCAGGTTGATGCCCAAACCGCCTGCCCGGGTGCAGAGGAGGAAGACGAAGCGATCCGAGTCGGGTTTGCTAAAGCGATCGATGGCGGCTTGCCGTAGGTTGCCCCGTACCCGTCCGTCGATCCGCTCGTAGAGGTACCTACCGAGATCACCGGAACCGCGTTCGGGGAGGGCACGAGGGTCCCCCCGCCGGGCCCACCCGTCGCCTCACCATCCCCCCCCCTCACCTCTTCTGGATGAGGTAGTCCTCCAAGATGTCGAGACATCGCACCATCTGGGAGAAGATGAGCACCTTGTGGCCGCCGGCTTTCAGCTTGGGCAGCAGCTTGTCGATGAGAACCAGTTTGCCGGCCGAGCGGACCATGGCCTGGAGGTGGAAGTCGTGGGGGACGTGGTGGTGGCAAGACTCCCGAAATTCGGCCAAGATCTTCTCCTCCGCGCCTGTCGGGTAGGGAAAGGACCTGTCAGCGGGGTGGGACGCGAGACCTTCTCGGGAGACACCCCACCAAAGCAAGACTCGAGGGGCATCAAAACCCAACCGGGTGAGCCGGAGGATCTCCCCCACCGCGACGTTGAGCCCAACGGACGGCTCTACGGAGGTTGGGGAAGGCAAACCCCAAATCCAAGAGGCCAAGTCCTCGGTGGAAGAAAGGACGAGGCCAGGAGAAGCAGGGACGGGGTGGCGTTAGCCCCTGAGGTCGTCCGCCGGCGGTGGGAGGACAAGGGATGCCCTGCCGCGTCGTTACCCACGTCTGGTTCCTCACCGTTGATGAGGTAGGGGTGGTTGCAGCACTTGCGCAGCTCCATCATGGTGTTGAGGAGGTTGGGCATGTTGGTGTGACCGGCGCCTTTGGAAAGGAAGGAGAAATTCTTCTCCAGGATGGCCCGGTAGTATTTCTTCTGAATGTTGGTCAACTCCACCTCAATGATGGTCTCTTGCTTGGGCGCCAGGTTCTTCTCCACGTCTTCCTTCAACCGACGGAGCATCATGGGCTTGAGGATGGCCTGGAGCTTCTGCACCTACAGGGGGGATCAGCAGGGCAACGTCACTGCGGGTCAGGAAGGACCCAAGTGGCCGGGGAAGGGTTCGGGGTCCTCCCGATGTTCTCACCTGCTCCTCGGTCTTGAGATCCCCAAAATCCTTGAGAAATTCTGCTTCGGAAGGGAACTGGGAAGGCTCCAGGAAGTGCAGCAGGCTAAAGAGCTCTTCCACCGTGTTTTGGAGCGGGGTGCCCGTCAAGAGAACTTTGTGTTCCTGATAACCAGGGGGTGTAAAACGTTAGGATTTGGGGTGGGGTAGGCATGGAACATGCCCAACCATCTCCAGGCATGACCAGCACCCCACACACACCTTCAGGACCAATCCCTGCGGCACGGGATGAGCCCAAACATCTCAAGATGCAACCAAGACCCCAAACACACCTCCAAAACCAATCCCCACAGCATGGGATGAACCCAAACATCTCCAGATGCAACCAAGACCCCACACAAACCTTCAAAACCAAGCCCTGCGGCATGAGATGAACCCAAACATCTCCGGATGCAACCAAGACCCCCCCCACACCTTCAGGGAACCCTGCTCTGCCCCACGGAGAGGAGCTGGGGTCTCCGTGTCCCCTTCCCCGTCCCCTTCTCCACCCCATCTCTCACCAGGTCCATGTGCTTGAGGCTGTCGAGCAACTTGCAGTTGCGGTTTTTGAGGCGATGGGCCTCGTCGATGATGACGCAACGCCACTCGATCTCCCGCAGCTCGGGGCAGTCGGAGAGGATCATCTCGAAGGTGGTGATGAGAGCGTCAAATTTGTAGGCTCCGGGGATGAGACGACCCTGAGGAGGGGACGAAGGTAGGGAGGTGGCTCCAACCTCATCCCCAAACCTCGGGGAAGAGTTTTCGGAAGCGTCTCGAAGCCAAGAAGACCCAACGGCATCCTACCCGCGAGTCCTTGCAGTACATCTCGTACTGTTGGATCATCTGCCGGGAGGCCAAACTGCCGTGGTAAACGATGCTGTTCATCTCCGTCCAGGTATTAAACTCCCGCTCCCAGTTAGTGATGGTGGAGAGCGGAGCGATGACCAGGAAAGGACCCCGGATGCCGACGTTGTAGACTTCTTGCAAGAAAGCGATGGACTGGATGGTCTTGCCCAAGCCCATCTCGTCGGCCAAAATGCAGTTCTGCCTGCGGGGAGGCAAACGTAACGGCCGGTCGGCGATTGGGAGCCGCGATAACGTCCCCCGTGTCGTCCCGCCCGCCGTCCCGTTCCGCCACTCGCCTGTTGTACCAGTTGAAGAGCAACCAGTTGACCCCTTCCAGTTGGTATTCGCGAAGCTGGTTGTGGTTTTTGTATTCGTGGGAGAGCTCCAGTTTCTTCCAGGAACCGGCTTGGGGACGGGGCTGGGCGGAAAAAGGAAGGCGGGGGGGATGGAGATGACATCGCTGGCTGCCAAAATCGGGGTGCGGGGGGGACGCGGGGAGGTGGAAGAGGACCCGGACGCTCACCAAACGCTTGAGTTCCGGGTGTCGCGCTTGGATGCGTTTGAACTCCCTGATCTTCCCCTCGTCTACGTCCTCTTTGAGCTCCCAAGTGCTGTCCTCGTAGGGTAGGGAGCACCACTTCACCAGGTAGTAGACCACCGGCTGCAACCCGGGGTAGGGTGGGGGGACAAAAAAAAGGGGGTGTCGGTGACGGGAAACGCCATTTTTTGGGGGGGACGGAAGTCCCCCGTCGCCCCGTTCTCTCCTCCTCGCTCACCTCCCCATTGTCTTTGTCGATGCTGTGGGACTCGTCCAAAATACGGTCTACCTCCACGTAGTCGGGGTTAAAAGGTTCTTCATCCTTTGAAGATGAAGAGGGGGGCGGTGAGCGGTCTCGCCAAACCCCCAAAACCCCTTCCGCGCTCCCCCCCCCTCCCCCAAACCAGCACCTCGTGGAAAAAGTGTCGCATCTGCGTCATCTTCGTCTTGAAACGCTTCAGCTTCTGGTGGATCCTCTTGTCCTTCTCCAGCTGGTCGATGGTGGCCCACTCGCAGTGGAGATAGGAGCTGGGGGGAGGACAGGGAACAGGGGGGCAAAGCGTCACGTCCACGTGGCAAAGCCCCCCCCCCACTGCGGCGAAGGGATTTGGGGGCTGTAAGGCCGTTTTTGAGCAACGTTGGCGCAAAACACCACCCTTCGTCGACAGCCGCCTCGTTGTAGAAGCGCCGACGAGTTGTTGGGCTCACCGCCGCGTCCCCTCCATTGGGTTTGGAGAGCTCAACCCAACCGTCGTGGCCCAACAAGGAGCCTGCCGGCGGGGCGGCAAGGGTCCAAACGTGCCGTAGACCCCAAGGGGACGCCCCAAACCCATCCCACCTCCTCCGGCCACCTACTAGTTCTTGTACTTGACGAAAAACTCCTCCAACTCGATCAACTGCCCCGACGGAAGCTGCGGAGAACCAGGCAGGACGTTAAGAGTCGGCAAAATGCCGGCAAAACGCCCCCTATCACCGCCACCACGGTGGTCGCTCACCTCTTTCTTCACCACCCTCATGGAGAGGACCTTGTCCACGATGGCCGCGTCCTCCTCGCTGGGGTTTTCCTGGAGGCGGAGAAGAGAAAAAGATGAAGATGACGGTGGAAGGAGACGAAGATCACGGCGGACGCCACAAAACGGCATCTGAGAAGATAAAGCAAAGACCCCCCACCACAAAAAACTGCATGGAGGGCAACGTCTCGCCCTCCGGCTCCGGCTCCGGGGCGGGGGGTTGCGGGACCGGCGGTTGCTCGGGTCGGACCGGCCCCGTCACGTCCAGCTCTTCATCCTCCTCATCGTCGGTGATCTTGATGTCCAAATCTTCAGTGTATTTCTTGCGCTTGACTTGCCGATTCGACCGCCGTTTCTGGAAAGGGGAAAGGAAAACAGGATGCGGCCCCCGTCCATGCCAAAACGGCACGGACCTCCGCCGGCGGCGTCTCCGTACCTGCACGCTGGTTTCTTCTTCTTCCCGCGGCGACTGCGCCGGCATCACCTCGGCATCCGAGTTGTCGGAGGAGGCGTTGCGCTTCCGTTTCTTCCCCACCACCGGTGTGATGGTGCTACCGGGGCGAGATGGGGGCGTTAGGAGGGCGGAGATGGGACAGACAGATCCCTGCTCTGGGGGTTTACTCCAAGGCCAAGGGTTGGGGAACAACGAGGGCCAAAGTCTGGGGACGACGGCCAACGCTGGGGGGCAAATGAGCATGGTTGGGGCGACAAAGACCACGGTTGGGCAACGATGGCCACCGTTGGGCGACAAAGACCACGGTTGGGCAACGAGGGCCGCCGTTGGGCGACAACGAAGGGCCACCGCTGGGTGACAACGAAGACCACGGTTGGGCGACAAGGGCCACCATTGGGCGACAATGAAGACCACGGTTGGGCGACGAGGGGCCGCCGTCAGGCGACAACGAAGACCACGGTTGGGCGACAACATCACAGCCACCCCAACGAGGACACGCACCCGCGGCCAAACCCCTCCCAGCTATATTTGGGTGAAAATACGTCGTTTTTCGGAGCTGAGATCTCACCTGGGTTTGCTGCGCCCCTTGCTCTTGCCGGAGCCACCTTGACCCTTGCCCTTGCGGGGTCTTTCCTCCTTGGGTCCCCCGCGCTCGCCGGCCCCTTTCCGCCGGCGCTTCCGCTCGCCCTCCTCCTCGGGCCGGACGCTGGGCAGCTCGTCCTCGTTGAGGACACGGGGGATGTTCTGCTCGCCCCGGGCTCGGGCACGGGCGATGGCCTCGGCTACGATGCGATTGGCTTTCTCCTGCTTCTTCTGGTGCTCCAGCTTGCGGCTTTCTTCCGAGGCGCCCCGCGAGCCGGGGCTGGCCAGGGCGGCTACTTCGCTGCTGCTCAGCACCTTCACCACCGATAGACCGGGAGAACTGCCCTGAGACGAGCCGGCCTGCGGAGAAAAGCCAAAAATTGGGGTGGCACCAAGGTTGGGCGCGATGGAGACCAAGGGTTGGGCGCGATGCCGCGGCCAAAGGTTGGGCGTGATGCCATGGCCAAGGGTTGGGCGCGATGGAGACCAAGGGTTGGGCGCGATGCCGCGGCCAAAACTGGGTGCAACTCCAGGACAAAAGCTTGGGTGCGACCAAAACCAAGAGTTGGGTGCAACGGAAACCAAGAGTTGGGCGCAATGATGTGGCCAATATTGGGCACAACGCCGCAGCCAAAGGTTGGGCGCGATGGAGACCAAGAGCTGGGCACAACGCTGCAGCCAAAGGTTGGGCGCAACTGGGACCAAAATTGGGTGCAACTCCAGGACAAAAGCTTGGGTGCAACCAAAACCAAGCGCTGGGCGCAACGGAAACCAAGAGTTGGGCGCAACGGAAACCAAGAGTTGGGCGGAACAACGTGGCCAAGATTGGGCGCAACTGGGACCAAAATTGGGTGCAACTCCAGGACAAAAGCTTGGGTGCAACCAAAACCAAGAGCTGGGCGCAACGCCGCGGCCAATGGTCGGGCGCAACAGGGAGCAAAATCGGTTGCAACACTAGAACAAAAACATGAGCGCAACCAAAACCAAGAGTTGGGCGCGACACCGGGACCAAGGGTTTGGCACAACGGGGACTGTAGTTGGACAAAATGCCGGGACCGCCCCCCCGACGACTGCCCCCCAGAAGCTCCTCAGCTTCCCGGTCGCCCCAAAACCTCGCCGACGCTCACCTGGGGCTGTAGAACCACCTTCAACGGCACCGTCAACCTCTGCCCCGTCCCCCCCACGACCTGCGGCACGGAGGAGACGGCCACGGGAGCCGGCTGCCCACCGGCGCCGGCGGGTTGCTGGAGGAGTTGGATCTTCTGAGGAGCTCCTGGTTGGCCGGCAGGCGGTTGTTGAACCTGAAGTTGGATGGTGACCACCTTGGCGGGTTGGCCCGGCGTCCCTTTGGCTTGACCGAGAGCGGCCAATTGGTTGCCCTGCAACACGATCTTGCCCGGTAAACTACCCAACACCACGTGGCGTTGGCCGGGGGGAGCGCTACCGCCCGGCGGCTGTTGGAGCACCAAAGTGATGCGTTTCGATTCGCCCTGGAGGAGAGATGAGGGAAAAAAAAAAAAAGGGGCGGGGTCAGGGCGAGGATGGGGATCTCTGGGGAGCGTGGGTGGGGAGCTGGAACTCGGGGACCTCGTTATGGGGAGGTGACCTCAATCTTGGGGACCTCAAGGACTTTGGGGACCCCGTTATGGTGTGGTGACCCCAATCTTGGGGACCTCAAGGACTTTGGGGACCCCGTTACAACGTGGTGACCCCAATCTTGAGAACCTCAAGGACTTTGGGGACCACGCTACGGGGAGGTGACCCCAATCCTGAGGACCTCAGGGACTTTGGGGACCCCGTTAAGGGGAGATGACCCCAATCCTGAGGACCTCAGGGACTTTGGGGACCCCATTAAAGGGGTGGTGACCCCAAT